TGCTGGCAATTCTGGCAAAACTGTTGTGCCAAGCGCCGTGTAGGGGAGCTGTGAAATCTGCCACCATGGTCTCCATTGCAGGCTGCTGTACAATTTCGCCTTTTCATTAAATATCGCGACCACAGGTCTCACATCTAAGGCTTCCCCTTCTTCCACTTGCTCTTTCCCGGTCGCTGCGTGCACTCTCAACGCCTCCCCAAGCACCCCTTCCTTCATTGGTTTTTCCTTTGATACCATAGTGCTCAGTTTTTCCTCTATGCTTAGCCCTTTCTCCAATCTGGGGAGCGCGAAATTGGATGTTGTGGCGTGCCCTTTGATTTTTTGTGGTTGCCGTTTTTATTTTGAATGTTTTTTCTTTTTTTTTGTGGTTGTCGTCTTTTGGGAAAATATATGGCTGGGAAAAGCTGGAAATGACAAGGCAACCACTGTGCATCTGAAGACAAGGCAAACACTGTGCACCCAGAAAAACATTTACAGACGGATCTGGATGCATCTCTCTCTCCCCCCCCTCACACACACACACACACACACACACACACAATCAATTGTCTGTTTGTCTGTTTTTTCTGTTGTTGTCTGTCCTCCCCCTAATCTTTTTCTAAGTGTTTTGCTTACCCAAACTGAGCACCCTTAAGTAGTGCCAAACAGTCGGTGGTTCCTCGTTTGGAGTGCCAACTGCACTCTTAGGGGGCCGCTCGGTTTGGGATGTCTGTGTTGCCTGTAGGTGATGACGGATGCTCGTCGGAGTGTCTCCCTGGCTCAGTGGGTGGTGGGAACCAACAGTCTGTGGGGTTCACCTGTGATGTGAGTAGGTGATGTGCTGCTTTGCTCCGCGTTGGATGTGTGGACGACCCCGTCTGCGCTTCATCACTGCCTTGCTGCCCGTTCCGCTTGCCTCACAGGTCGTTCTTGGCATGCTGCTGTCTTCGCTATGTGGTCTGGCCGGGTTGTGGTGTTGCCTTGCGCTTCGCTGCTTCGCTGCCTTGCAGCCCGTCCGCTGGTCGTGCCTTCTGGGTTCTTTGCTTGCGCGCCCTGTAGTTTGGTTGCCGTGTTGGGGTTGCCTTGTGCTCCCCAGCATGGTTGCTCTACTGCTTGTCCGCTTGCCCTCTTGTCCCTTGCAGTGTGGTTGTCGTGGTGGTGTTGCTTGGTGCTTCACTGCTTGGTTGCCGTGCTGTGAGTCCTGTGTGCCGTGTCTTTCCTTGCAGTCATCTTTGGCGTTGTGCAGTCGTGTTGCCTCTACTGCGTTGCCTGGTGCTCCACAGGGTTGCTGCCCGCTGCTATGTTCCACTTGGGGACAGTCTGCCTTCAACAAGGGTCAAAGGGTGCATGACCCAAACCATCAATACGGGCATTCTGCAGATTGTCGAGGGTTCAGCCTCCTAATGAGCCGGTGCAACTCCGACGAAACAATCTTTCATCATCAGTTTTATTTTTTTCAGTCGTTGCTTTGTTTATACTTGTATTTTTTTCAGGGTGCTGTTCTTGCATTGTCGTCGTTTGTCTTGTTGTTTCCCTTGCTGTTTTACGCTGTTTGCTTGCCCATCTGTCTACCCCATGTCTTTTACCTAGTGTGCTTTGTTGTTTTGTGCTGTTTGCTTGTCCACCCGCCTTCCCCGTGCCCTCCAACCTATATGCTTTGCTGTTTTGTGCTGGTTGCCTGCCCACCCGCCTCCCCCGTGCCCTCCAACCTATATGCTTTGGTTTGTGCTGTTGGTTTTCTTTCTGCCTTGTGTGCTTTGCAATGTATGGCGCTATGTGTGACGACCTTTCACGTCCAATCTCAAAACTATTGCAGTTTTACCTTTGAAGTGGTTTCACTGATGGTGTTCGTGATTATGTCACGTTGGGGATATCGTATACATGTGTGTTCATACACACACATCTCCACACATCTCCACACACACACACACGCACACACATGCACACACACACACACACACACACACACACACACACACACACACACACACACACACACACAGCAGAGCAATGTGCTCATAGTTTATCACCACCAGGGCAAGCTGTTGCGGATCATATCCTGCAGCAGCTGAACGCCCTTGCGTTGGACCGATCCTCCCTGTCGTCATCTGCCCATAGAGAAGGAATACATACTGAGGAAGCCTAAGAAAGATGGTCCATGCCGTTTTGTGATGACCCACCGGAGATTCAACTAGCATGTGGTTCACATGCCTTGTGCCGTGAGGATTATGAAGGGATAGTCCATGCGAGTTTTTGCTTCCATACGTACGATGACAGTCAGTACTGTACTCATGTACGGCACCCCGACCTGTCATGTCCGATTTGTAGACAGGGGCTGGAACGGCAATGCCTCTATAATTGCGGTCGACGTGCCTCTGTGTTCCTAGCATGTAGGAGCCACATAGCCTGTGACATCTGTCTGCGCCGTGCCATTCGATGCAGCAACTGTGACTGCGAAAATTGGATGCGGTGCTTCCATAGCCCACACCCGAACCGGTCCTGTCTGGTCTGTAGGGGTGGCCAGTTGCCATAGTTTTTTTTTTCACCCTGTGCCATGCTAGAGTAGTCTGTTTCAGTGGTGAATATTTAGAATTCTGTGAAGCTTGTCATACACCTCTCCCCTGCTCTTTGCATGTCATACTCTATCCTGCCCTTTACATATTTCATTCCTTCCCTTTGCCCCTACCTCCCCTGCCCCATACTCCTATAGAACCCCACCTTCTATCCCTTTCCCTCCACCCTCCCCTGCACTCCCTTTGTGCTACTAACAAATACATGCGGATGAGCATCATTAAGAGAACAGACAATATGAAGATCAGAAATGAAATGAGTGGAGGTATGAAGATTGCAATCAGACTCGACTCATTCACACTTTTCATGCTCGTGAACAGCAGCACAACAAACTGGCGACATGCGCCCACACAGTACACAGAGATATGGCTTCCAGGTAAGTCCACTCCCACTGGCTATGGCGACTGAGCGCCCAACATCCACTGTTCACACACTGGATCGCCCTGGATATCCCACACTCGACACTCTGCACACTCACATCACGCACACACACACACACTACTATAGCTATGGCAGCGCTAGCTGCCACTACCCTATCGCTATACTACACTTCTCTGCCCACTTCGACTTCGGGCACACTGCAGACCTCCTCGCACAAGCAGCTGAGGCAGCGCTTCCGCATGGCTTCCACAGGAATGAATTTGAATGACTGGGCGCGACCTCTTGATTTATACTTCTGGGATGCGTTGGTCTGCCCTGTAGCCCTGGCCCCCTGGTGCACAGAGTCCCAGACGGTACTTGCTGGACAGGACCGGACTGACTGAACTGGGACTGTTGACTCAGCGTGGTGGACCTACACCACTTGACCACTTGCCTCTACCGAAACAGGGGCTGGCTCAGAAAGGCCACTTCTAGAAACCTCTACTTTGGCCTTTCGGGACTGTAGCAGCTACGACTCTGCCCTTTCAGGTAAGTAGCAGCTACGGCGTTGACCCTCGGACAGTCTACAGCTAAGACCTCTAGACTGCCTAGACTCCTACCCGACAGGTCTACAGTTCGACTCCCTTCTACCCTGTAACCTACGAGATCTTACCTGCCACTGGCGGTCCTACAGGTCGCAGGTTCAAATCTACGGGTTGACACAGTTACTGTACACAGGTAAGGTGAACTAAGGTGGGGAACTAGGGATCGAGCCCTGGGATCTGCATCAGCTACTGCAAAGTGGTGAATACCGTTTCAAGATGAAGGACGGACACAAAGACTGTATAAGGTGAAGATCTGAAGTGAAAGGAACAGGAGTATGAAGCTCTGAAGAGAAATGCTCAGGAGCATACCTTCCCTTTTACTCTGCCTCCTGAAATAACGTGCAAGTGGGCCGTGAAGGCACACAGGGATGTGGGCAGCTGCCGCTCAACCACAATCAGCATCGGCAGCCTTGTGCGTAAGAGGCACAGTAAAAGGGGAGCTGCAAGAACAATGGAAGGGGTACCCCAAGGACAACCAAAAAACTGTCTAATTATAAAATTGCTTTAATATGTTGGACATCTCAAATGCTCTCGTTGTCTGCAATAGGACAAAGAGTTGGACCCCACAGGACCGCGGAAAGGCAAAACTTTGCCGCGAAACTGTTTCCAGGACCCCACAGCCTGCGGCAGATGTCCACGGAAAGGTGAAATTTCTCCCGCAAACTGTTTTCCCGGACCCCACAGACCGCAGATTGCGGCTTGGAAAAACGTAGTTTTCTGTTTTCACATAGTCCGCAGCCTGGAAAGGTCTCACGGGAGGATTCCTTGCCGCAGTTTTGTGCCAACTCTGGAGGGCAGGGGGGAGGGCGTATCTGTCCTGGAAAGGTCTTGGAAAAGTCTCACGGGAGGCAGCAGCAAATAGCGACCAAGAGTGCCACACAAAAAAAAAGGAAAAACAAAGAAAAGTTAGAAAACAAGAAAAAAAAAAAAGAGTGCCGACGGAGAAAGGCAACGATTGGCTCAACTGATTCCCAAAGGGTTTCCACGGCGCATTTGGTCCTCCGCGGTGGGGTCCCTGCAGAACTGCTTTCGAGCTTTCCAAAATTCTTTGCCCGTTGTTTTTGGCCGGACAGTTTCTCCATCGTTTTTCCTGTGGGGTCCAACTCAAAGACTGGTTTGATTCTGAATCTAATATCTATTCATCTGGGTGGAATGGGGGCTGTTGTGGGGAAAATCTATAACACACACCCCTTCCCGCGTCCCAAGAAAGCAGTCAGAAAAGCATCAAAAAAAAAAAGAGAAGAGAAGTGCATTGTGATCCTGAGCATTGATGATTGCACTTTTTTCGGATTGCAGCCATCATGGCGTGTGGGAGGGCTCAGTAATAGTCAGTATATGATTTTTTTTTTTCCATCAACAGTGAGAGCTTTGCACAATGTTTCACCGTACAAGTTCCCGAAATAAAAATAAAAAGGGAAACAAAAATCTGAAGAATGCTTTGAATGTGGCGGGATTTGGTGGGCTTGAACCTGGATGGCATTGAGGGCATTACTAAACCATCATGAACATGGTCTACATACAGACCAAGTTCATGGTGTGTGAAAGGTTGACAACCTTATGATTGAATGATGACACCCCTCTCTGTTGTTAATGGTGTGCAAAAATGGCATCTCTCTCTCTCTCTCTCTCTCTCTCTCTCTCTCTCTCTCTCTCTCTCTCTTTCTTTTTTTTTTTTTTTCCTTGTTCTTTTTGGGATGCAACTGCCAAGAGTACCGGAAAAGAAATACAATGGGACCCTGTGCGCAGTGAAATTCAGGTTTGGCACGACATTGCGTCCTTGCGACGGCAACGGCGTTTGTTCATCATTGATCTGGACTTAGTTTCTTTTTTTTTTTTTTTTTGCTCGTCTTCTTGGTGTCATCTGCTGGGACGAGGTACAGCACTTGAGTTTCAAGGTAGACTGGTACTGGTACCCTGGGGCCAAGTCCCACTTACACCGCTGAGTTGAGCCAGCTCAACGGTGTGACAGTCTTTTGCCATTTTTTAATTCGAAGAAATGTCGAAAATGAATTTAAAATGCAGCACTCTACGTTGATAGATAGATAGATAGATAGATAGATAGATAGATAGATAGATAGA